GGGGACATCATCAATAACTGCTGCAGAACGGGCGTCTGGCAAATCTAAGGATGGATTTCCGAACCTCAGTAAGGGAAACGTTCAAGACTCTGTATACTATATACGTCAGGGGCCCCTATTTGGGGTAGCAGCACCATTTTGGGAAACCACACCGGGCAAGCCGTCAAGAATTTTTAGAAATTGCAAAGATTTTCAAAAAGAAAAAGTCCCCAGACTAAGGGGGTTTTCCTATGAAGAAAGGTTAAGGGGGAAAACGCCTGATACAAAAGGAGGACACGGGTCAGGGGGGGAAAGATAACACATATAAAAAACGGCGAGGAAGACACGGTGACAAAGACAGGATGTTTCCCGAGAGGGACAGAAACAAGGGGCCACACGAAGTTGAAGACTCCATAAGTCAAAAGGGGTGTTAGAAGAAATTTTTCAGTCATAAGTTTCAGGGAAATGGAATACCGGAAGCGCTAATGGAGGGGGGAACCATAATATTTTAAGCAGGTTTTAAAAGCCATGAGCGGGAAGAGAGGGGCCCAGTAGCAAACTGGGGCGGAACCCCCGAGTACTGATCTGCTCTAGAAGTGGGGGGACCCAGAAATTTCTGATCTGCTCTAGAAGTGGGGCGAACCAAAGTCCTATTGCTCTGAAGTGGGGCGACCCAGATTTCTGATCCGCCAAATGGGGCGACCCAATGTACTGATCTCTCTAAAGAGGGGGGCGACCCAGATGTACTGACCGCTCTAGAAGTGGGGACCCAATTACTGACCGCTCTAAAGTGGGGGGACCCAGATGTAATGAAATGCTCTAGAAGTGGGAGACCCGATGTACTGCCCGCTCTAGAAGTGGGGCGCAAAGATTTCTGACCTGCTCTGAAGTGGGGGGACCCCGATGTACTGACCCCTCTAGAAGTGGGGCACCCAGATAACTGACATGCCAGAAGTGGGGGGACCAATGTACTGATCCGCTCTAGAAGTGGGGGGACCCAATGTACTGACCTGCTTAGAATGGGGCGACTCAGATTTTCTGACCTGCCCCAAAGAGGGGGGACCCAGATGTACGATCCCTAGAAATGGGGTGACCCGTTTACTGCCTGCATTGAAATGGGGGCCCAATCACTGACCCGCTCAGAACTGGGGCGACCCAGATGTACGACCCTCAGAAGTTGGGGGGACCCAGATGTACTGACCTGTCTAGAGTGGGGGGACCCAGATGTACTTATCCCTCTAGAAAGGGGCGACCCGATGTACTGAACTGCTCTAAAGCGGGGCGACCCAGATGTCTGACCCCGCTCTAGAAGTGGGGGGCCCAGATGTAGAAATCTCTAAAGTGGGGATACAAGATGAAATGCCTGCTCTAGAATGGGGCGACAAAAATGTACAATCTCTCTAAAGTGGGGCGACCTAGATTACTGATCTGCTCTAAAGTGGGGCGAGCCGATGTATTGACCTCTTAGAAATGGGGCGACCCCGATGTACTTTTCCCTCTAGAAGTGGGGCGACCCCGATGTATGATCTGCTCTAAACGGGGCGACCCCGATGTACTGATCGTCTAGAAGTGGGGGGACCTAGATGTACGATCCGCTCTAGAAGTAAGGCGACAAAAAAGTACTGACCTCTCTTGAAGTGGGGCGACCCGAGTATAACGCTCTAGAATGGGGCGACCCCCATGTACGACCCGCTCTAGAAGGGGGCGACCCAGATGTACTGACCCCTTTTGAATAGGGGGGGACCTAGATGTACTGACCTGCTCTAAAAGTGGGGCGACCCGATTATGACCCCGCCTAGAAGTGGGGACCCGATTACGACCTGCCCCTAGAAGGGGGGACCCAGATTACTGAACTGCTCTGAAGTGGGGAGACGCAGATGTACTGACCTCTCTAGAAGTGGGGCGACAAACATGTACTGACCTGCCTAGAAGTGGGAGACCCCGATGTACTGACCTCTCTAGAAGTGGGGCACTCGATTACTGACCCGCTCTAGAAGTGGGGGGACCCAATGACTGACCTGCTTAAAAGTGGGGGACCCCGATGTACTGACGCCAGAAGTGGGGGACACAGTTGTATGATTGCTCTAGAAGTGGGGCGGCCCCGATGTACGATCCCTCTAGAAGTGGGGCGACCCAGATGTACGACCTGCTCAAAGTGGGGGGACTCGAGATGACCTGCTCTAAAGTGGGGGGAAAACCAGAAACCGATTGCTCTAGGAGGGGGTGACCCAGTTGACTGACCTGCCTAGAAGTGGGGCCAACCCCCATGCACTGACCTGTCTAAAGGGGGGACCCAAATTTTTACTGACCTGCTCTAGAAGTGGGGGGAAACCCCGGTACTGACCTCTCTAGAAGTGGGGGGACCCAGATGTACTTTTCCCCCTCTAGAAGTGGGGCGACCCAATGTACTGACCTGCTCTAAATGGGGGGACCCAGATGTATGACCCTCTAGAATGGGGACCAATTATGACCCGCTCTAGAAGTGGGGAACCCAATTATGCCCGCTCTAAAGTGGGGCGACAAAAATGTACAACTACTCTAGAAGTGGGGGGACCCAGAGTACTGCGCTCTAAAATGGGGGGGAGCCAGAGTACTGCCGCTCTAAAGTGGGGCGACCCAGATGTACTTTCCGTCTAAGAGTGGGGCAACCCCGGGGTCTGACCTCTCTAGAAGCGGGGCGACCCAAAGACGATCTGCTTAGAAGTGGGGCCCGATGAAAGATCCCTCTAGAACGGGGCGACAAAAAAGTATGGCCGCTCTAAAGTGGGCGACCCCCATGATTAAACCGCTCTAGAAGTGTGGGGACCCAAGGTACTGACCTGCTGTAGAAGTGGGGGGACCCAGATTTGACCTGTCTAGAAGTGGGGCACCTAGATTACCCCGACCTGCCTAAAGTGGGGGGCCCCGATGTCTGACCCGCTCCAGAAGTGGACGACCCAGATTTCTGATCGCTCTAGAAATGGGGCGACCTAGATGAAGCCCCGTCTACAAGTGGGGCGACCCCAAAGTACGCCTGCTCTAGAAGTGGGGCGACCCGATGTACTGCCTGTTCTAGAAGTGGGGCGACAAAGATCTACTGACCCTCTAGAATGGGGGGACCCCGATGTACTGCCTGCTTAGAAGTGGGGGGGACCCAGATGACTGACCTGCTCTAGAATGGGGCTCCCGATGCATTGACTGCTCTAGAAGTAGGGACGAAAAAATGACTGACCTGCTTAGAAGTGGGGCGACCCCCGATGTATGATCCGCTCTAGAAATTTGGGCGAACCGATGTAAATGACCTGCTCTAGAATGGGGGGACCCGATGTCTGATTCTCTAGAAGGGGGCGACCCAGATTACTGATCTCTAAAAAAGGGCCCCAGATGACTGACCGCTCTGAAGGGGGGACCCCGATGCATACCTGCTCAGAAGTGGGGGACCAGATTACTGACCTCTCTAGAAATGGGGGGACCTAGAGTATGATTGCCTAGAACGGGGGAACCCAGAGTACTGACCTGCTCTAGAAAGGGGGCACCCCGATTACGACCTCTCAAAAAGTGGGGGGACCTAAATGTATATTCTCAAAACTGGGCGACCCGAGTCTGACCTCTCTAGAAGTGGGGGACCCCAATTACTGACTCCCCAAATGGGCGCCCAATTTACTGACCTGCTCTAGAATGGGGCGCCCGAGTACTGACCTTCTAGAAGTGGGGCGACCCAGATGTACGACCCCGCCTAGAAGTGGGGCGACCCAATGTACTGAAAATGCCTGAATGAGGCGACCCAGATGATGACTTGCTCTAGAAGTGAGGCGACCCGAGACGACCCCTCTAGAAGTGGGGGGACCCCGAGTACACCTGCCTAGAAGGGGCGACCCAATGTACTGAAAAAGCTCAAAAGTGGGGGCCCAGATTTTTGAACTGCTCTAAAGTGGGGGGGACCCAGATTACGATTGCCTAGAAATGGGGTGACCCGATGTACTGATCTCTCAAAGTGGGGCGACCCCGATGTTTCTGACCCGTCTGGGAAATGCTGCGACCCCGATGTACTGACCCCCTCAGAAGTGGGGGGCCCCCGAGTACTGATCTGTTCTAGAATCTGGTGACCCGATTTCTGATCTCTTAAAAAATGGGGGGCCCCGATTACTGACCTCTCTAGAAGTGGGGGGACCCAGAGTATGACCTTCTCAAAGGGGGGACCGGATGTATTGATCTGCTCTAGAAGTGGGGGACCCAAAAAATACGACCTTCTTGAAGTGAGGGGACCCCGATTAGATCTGCTTTAGAATGGGGGGACCCAATGTCTGATCTGCTCTAGAAGTGGGGCGACCCAGATGTACTGACCTGCTCTAGAAGTGGGGCGACCCAGATGTACTGACCTGCTCTAGAAGTGGGGCGACCCAGATGTACTGACCTGCTCGAAGTGGGGCAACTCAGATGTAGACCTGCTTAGAAAATGGGGCGACCCAGATGACTGACCTGCTCTAGAAAGGGGGCGCCAATGTACGACCCCCTCTAGAAGTGGGGGGGACCCAGAGTACGACCTCTCAGAAGTGGGGCGACCTAGAGTACTGACCTGCTCTAAAGTGGGGCGACCCAAAATTTTGCCTGCTCTAGAAGTGGGGCGACCCGATTTTTACTACCTGCTCTAGAATGGGGCACCCAGAGTACTGATCTCTCGAGAAAATGGGGCAACCTAGATGTACTGATCCGCTCTAGAAAATGGGGGCGACAAAAATGTCAACCCGCTCTGAAGTGGGGCGACCCCGGTACTGACCGCTCAGAAGTGGGGCGACCCAATATACTGATTCTCTTTTAAGTGGGGCACCCCGATGTACTGACCTGCTCTAGAAGGGGGCTACCCCGATGTATTGATTGCCTAGAAGTGGGGCGACCCAAAAAAAACTGACCTGCTCTAGAAGTGGGCGACCAGATTACTGACCGCCCAGAAAATGGGGCGACTCAGAAGTCTGACCCGCTCAAAAAGTGGGGCGACCCAGAGTACTGACGTGCTCAGAAGTGGGGGGACCCAGAGTACTGACCTGCTCTAGAAGTGGGGGACCCGATGACGACCTCCTAGAAGTAGAGCGCCCAGATAACTGACGCCGAGAAGTGGGGCGACCTAAAAGACTGATCCGCTCTGAATGGGGGGACAAAGTGTAGACCTGTCTAAAGTGGGGCGACCCAGATTTCGACCCCCTAGAAGTGGGCGACCCAAATGTACTGACCTTCCTTGAATGGGGCGACCCAGATGTACTGACCTGCTCTAAATGGGCTTCCCGATGTATTGATCTGCTCTTAAAGTGGGCGACCCAAATATACTGACCCCGCTCTAAAGTGGGGGGGCCCAAGTACTGACCTGCCAGAAGTGGGGCGACCCAGTGTACTGACCTGCTCAGAAGTCGGGCGACCCAGATGTACGACCTCCAGAATGGGGGGAACCCCGATGTACTGACCTGCTCAAGGTGGGGGGGACCCAATGTAAGAAAATGCTCAGAAGTGGGGCGCCCAAAATACGACCTGCCTAGAAGTGGGGGACCCCGATGACTGCCTCTCTAGAATGGGGGGACCCAGATGTACTGACTGCTCAGAAGTGGGGCGACCTAATGTACTGATCCGCTTAGAAATGGGGGGACAAAGATGTACGATTTTTAGAAGTGGGGCGACCCAGATGACTGAACTGCCTAGGGGGGGGCTACCCCGATGTATTGATCTGCTCTAGAAGTGGGACGGCCGAGATGTAATGACCTGCTCTAGAAGTGGGCCAACCCAGATGTACTGACCTGCTCTAGAAGTGGGGCGACCCAGATGTACTGTTCCGCTCTAGAAGTGGGGCGAACCCGATGTCGACCTGCTCTAGAAGTGGGCGACCTAGATTTCGATCGCTTAGAAATGGGGCGACCCAGATGTACTGCCTCTAAAAATGGGGCGACCCCCCATGTCTGACCTGCTCTAGAAGTGGGGCGACCCAGATGTACTGACCTGCTCTAGAAGTGGGGCGACCCAGATGTACTGACCTGCTCTAGAAGTGGGGCGACCCAGATGTACTGACCTGCTCTAGAAGTGGGACGACCCAGATGTACTGTCCTGCTCTAAAAGTAGGGCGACCCAGATGTACTGACCTCTCTAAAGTGGGGCGACCCCAAAGTACTGTCTGCTCTGGGAATGGGGGGACCCGATTTACTGATTGCTCTAAATGGGGTGACCCAAAGTATGATCTGCTCTGGGAAGTGGGGCGACCCAGATGCACTGATCTGCTCTAGAAGTGGGGCGACCCAGATGTACTGATCTGCTCTAGAAGTGGGGTGACCCAGATGTACTGATCTGCTCTAGAATTGGGGCGACCCAGATGTACTGATCTGCTCTAGAAGTGAGGCGACCCAGATGTACTGATCTGCTCTGGAAGTGGGGCGACCCAGATGTACTGACCTGCTCTAGAAGTGGGTGACCCAGATGTACTGACCTGCTCTAGAAGTGTGGTGACCCAGATGTACTGATCTGCTCTAGAAGTGGCGCGACCCAGATGTACTGACCTGCTCTAGAAGTGGGGCGACCCAGATGTACTGATCTGCTCTAGAAGTGGGGCGACCCAGATGTACTGATCTGCTCTAGAAGTGGGGCGACCCAGATGTACTGACCTGTTCTAGAAGTAGGGGGACCCAAGTAATGACCGCTCTAAAGTGGGGGGGCCCAATGTACTACCTCTCAAAGTGGGGCGATCCAGATGTACGCTGCTCTAGAAGTGGACGACCCCAAAGTACGACCTGCTCTTGAAGTGGGGCGACCCAAGTACTGACTGCTCTAGAAGGGGGCGACCCGATGTACTGATCTGCTCTAAATGGGGGGACCCCGATGTACTGATCTGCCTAGAAGTGGGGTGACCCGATGTACTGACTGCCTAGAAGTGGGGCGACCCAGAAGTACTGATCTCTCTAGAAGTGGGGGGACCCAGAGTACTGACCCCTCAGAATGGGGCACCCCGATGTAATGATTGCTTAGAAGTGGGGCACCCAATGTAGATCGCTCAAAAATTGGTGACCCCAAAGAGATTTGCTTAAAGTGGGGCACCCAGTGTATGACCTCCTAGAAGTGGGGAACCCCCAAAGTACTTCCTTCTTAGAAGTGGGGCACCCCTGTATTGATCTGCTCTGAAGTGGGGGCGACCAATAAACTGATCCGTCTAGAAGTTGGGGGACAAAGTTACTGACCCCTCTAGAAATGGGGGGACTCAGATTACTGACCCCTAGAAGTGGGGGGACTCAAATTTCTACCTTCTCTTGAAGTGGGCGACCCCAAAATACTGACCTGCTCTAAAATGGGGGTACCCAAAGTATTTATCGCCTAGAAGTGGGGGCGACCCAAATTTACTGACCGCTCTAGAAGTGGGGGGACCAGAAGTCTGCCTGCTCTAGAAGTGGGGGGACCCAGATGTACTGACCTGCTCAGAAGTGGGCGCCCCGATGTACGACCCCCTAGAAATGAGGGGGACGCAGATGTCTGACCTGCTCAGAAGTGGGGCGACCCAGATGTACTGACCTGTCAGAAGTGGGGGGGACCCCAAGTATGCCCCTAGAAGTAGGGGGACCCAAAGGGACTGACCCGCTCTAGAATGGGCTACCCCCGATGTACTGATCTCTCTAGAAGTGGGGCGACCCCCGATGTCTGACCCTTAAAGTGGGGGCACCCAACGTATGACCCGCTCTAGGTGAGGCGACCAGATTACGACCTGCTCTAAAGTGGGGGGACCCAGATTACTACCTGCTCTAGAAGTAGGCGACCCAGATGTACTGACCCGCCAGAAGGGGGCTAAACCCCGATTATGATCTGCTCTAGAAGTGGGGCGACCCCGAAAGTACTGATCTGCCAGAAGTGGGGACCCAGGTACTGACCTGTTTTAGAAAGTGGGGGGAAACCCCAAAGTACTGCCGCTCTAGAAGTGGGGGTCCCGATGTACGACCCCTCTAGAAATGGAGCGATCCAGATGTACTGATCTGCTCTAGAAGTGGGGGACCAGATGTATGACCTGCCTAGAAGTGGAAATGACCCCGAGTACTGACCTGCTCTAATGGTTTGACAAGAGTATGACCTTTCTAGAAATGGGCGACCCAATGTATGACCCTCTAAAGTGGGGGGGACCCAGATTTACTGCCCGCTCTAGAAGTGGGGGGGGGGCCCAGATGTCTGATCTGCTCTGGAAGGGGGCGACCCCGATGACTGATCTGCTCAGAATTGGGGGACCCGATTTTACTGAACCGTCAGAAGTGGGGCGACCCCGTGTCGACCTGCTCTAGAATGTGGCACCCCGATGTATGATCTGTCTGAAAGGGGGGGACCAACGTCTGAAATCTCTAGAATGGGCACCCAAGTACTGAAGTGCCTAAAGGGGTCGACCCGAAATTCTCACCCGCCTAGAATGAGGCGCCCCCAAGTAGACTCTCTAGAATGGGGGACCCCGATTACTGACCTGCTCTAGAAAATGGGGCGACCCCGATGTACTGACCCTCTGAAGTGGGGGGACCCCAGATGTACGACCTCTCTAAAGTGGGGGGACCCAAATGTTGACCCGCCAGAAGGGGGCGACCCAATGTACGATCTGCCTAGAAGTGGGGCACCCCCATTTACTGATCCGCTCTGAAGTGGGGGGCCCAGATTACTGACCCGCCAGAAGTGAGGGGACCCAGTACTGCTGCTTTTGAAGTGGGGGACCCAGATATCTGATCCGCTCTAGAAGTGGGGCGACCCAATGTGCTGACCTGCTCTAAATGGGCGACCCCCCATGTACTGACCTGCTCAGAAGTGAGCGACACAGATATTGTCCGCCTAAAGTGGGGGACCCAGATTACGACCTCTCTAGAATGGGACGACCAATATACTGATCCCTGTAGAAGTGGGGCACCCAAAGTACTGCCTGCTCTAGAAGGGGGCGACCAATTAATGATCTGCTCTAGAAGTGGGCGACCGGATGACTGACCTGCTCGAATGGGGCACCCAATATACTGTCCGCTCTAGAATGAGGGGACCCAGAGTACTGACCTCCTAGAAGTGGGGCGACCCAGATAACTGATTTTCTCTAGAAGGGGGCGACCGAGCTGTACTGACCTGCCTAGAAGTGGGGCACCCAATATACTGTTCGCTCGAAGTGGGGCGACCCAATGACTGACCCTTTTCTAAAGGGGCTACCCGAGTATTGATCTGCCTAGAAATTGGGCGACCCAAAAAACTGACCGCCTAGAAGTGAGGGGGACCCAGATGTACTGATCTGCTTTTGAATGGGGCCCCGATGTACTGACTGCTCTAGAATGGGGCGACCTAGATAAACTATCCCCCAGAAGTGGGGCACAAAGATGTACTGACCGCTCTAGAAGTGGGGCGACCCAGATGTACTGACCTGCTCTAGAAGTGGGGCGACCCAGATGTACTGACCTGCTCTAGAAGTGGGGGAACTCGATGTACTGACCTGCTCTAGAAGTGGGGCGACCCAGATGTACTGACCTGCTCTAGAAGTGGGGCGCCCCAGATGTTTGACCCGCCTAGAAAGGGGGGGACCCCGATGACGACCTGCTTAGAAATGGGCGACCTAGATGTAGACCCGCTCTAGAAGTGGGGGGACCCAATGTACTGCCTCTTTGAAGTGGGCGACCCAGATGTATGACCTGCTCTTAAAAGGGGGGACCCAGATGTACTGACTGCTCGAAAGGGGGCAACCCAGATGTAGACCGCTCAGAAGTGGGGCGAAAAGAAGACTAACCGCTCTAAAGGGGGGGGACCCCAAAGTACTACCCCTCTAGAAGTGGGGCGACCCCCGATAACTGACCTTTTTTTGAAGTGGGGACCCCAGATGTAGCCTGCTCTAAAAATGGGGCTCCCAATGTATTGATCTGCTCTAGAAGGGGGCGACCCAAAAATACGACCGCTTAGAAATGGGGCGAATCAGATGTACTGAAACCCTCTAGAAGGGGGCGACTCAGAGTACTACCCGCTCTAGAATGGGCGACCCAGTGTCTGACCTCTCTAGAAGTGGGGCACCCAATGTACTGACCGTCTAGAATAAAGCGACCCAGATATACTGATCTGCTCGAGAAGTGGGGGGGACCTAAATGTACTGACCCTCTGAATGGGGCGACAAAGAGTACTGACCTGTCTAGAAATGGGGGGACCCCGATGTACTGACCTGCTTGAAGTGGGGCGACCCAAATGTACTGACCTTTTTCTTTAAATGGGGCGACCCAGATGTTACTGGGCCCCCTAGAAGTGGGGCTTCCCCGAGATTTGATTGCTCTAAAGTGGGGCGACCCAAAATACTGACCCCCTTTTGAGTGGGGGGGACCCAGATGTACTGACCTGCCTAAAGTGAGGCAACCCCGATGACTGACCCGCCGAAGTCGGGGGACCCAGAGTATGACCCGTCTAGAAATGGGGGACCCCTGTACTGACCGTCTAGAAGTGGGGACCCAAAATCTGAACGTCTAGAATGGGGCGACCCAAATATACTGACTGCCTAAATGGGGACCCCGTTATGATGCTTAGAAGTGGGGACCCAGATGTATGACTTTAGAAGTTTGGGGGTTTTAATTTCGACCCTCTAAAAGGGGGGAAAAATGTACTACCCGTTTTTAAAGTGGGGCAAGATTACTAACTCTTTAAAAATTTGGGGGACCCAAATTATATCTCCCAAATACCCAAATTAACCTTTCCCCTAAATCCAACCCAATTACTCCCTCTCTAAAATTCACCCAATATTTTCCCTCAAAATCAACCAATGCTCCCCCCTAAACACCTAATTACTATTTTCTAAATCACCCAAAACTCCCTAAAATCAAATTATACCCCCTTACCCAATTTTTTTTTAAATCCCCTTTTTTTCAAAATGGGGGGGTTTTGGGTTTGGTGGGGTTTTTTGTGTTGTGGGGGGGGGTGTTGACCTGCTCTGAGTGGGGGACCCAGAGTACTGATCTGCCTGGAAGTGGGGGGACCCAGTGTATGATCTGCTCTGAAGTGGGGTGACCCCAGATGTACGATCTGCCTGGGAAAGGGGGGGACCCTGATGCACGATCTGCTCTGAAGTGGGGCGACCCCGATGTACGATCGCCTAGAAATGGGGTGACCCAGATGTCGATCTGCTCTAGAAAATTGGGGGACCCCGATGTATGATCTGCTCTAGAATGAGGGGACCCCGATGTACTGATCTGTCGGAAGTGGGGGGACCCAGATGTACTGACCCGCTCTAAAGTGGGGGGACCCAATGTACGACCCCTCTAAAATGTGGGTGACCCAGATGTACTGATTGCTCTAGAAGTGGGCGACCCCAAAGACTGACCTGCTTTAGAATGGGGGACCCCAAAGTACATTGCTCTAGAAGTGGGGCGACCCAGTTATGACTCTTAGAAGTGGGCGACCCGAGTACTGACCCCGTTTTTAGAATTGGGCGACCCCTGTACTACCTCTCTAGAAGGGGGCACCCAATTACTGACCCGCTCTAGAAGTGAGCGATCCAGATTATGACTGCTCAGAAGTGGGGCACCCAGATTATGATCTGCTCTAGAATGGGGGACCCAGATGAAGATTCTCTGAAGGGGGGACCCGATTACGATTGCCCAGAAGTGGGGGGACCCCGATGTACTGATCTGCCTGAATTTGGGGGGACCCCGAGTACTGGGCCGCTCTAAAGTGGGGGACCCGATGTACTGATCGCTCTAGAAGTGGGGGCCCCCAAAGTACTGATCTGCTCAGAAGTCTGGTGACCCCGATTACGTCCTCTAGAAGTGGGGCACCCAAGTACGACCTCTCTAGAAGTGGGGGGACCCCGATTACTGACCTTTTCTAAAGTGGGTACCCAATGTATTTATCTGCTCTAGAAGTGGGGCGACCTAGAAAACGATCCGCTCTAAAAAGGGGGGGACAAAGATTTGACCTGCCTAGAAGGGGGCCCCCGTTCTGACCCCTAGAAATGGGGCGACCAATGTACTACCTTCCTTAAGTGGGCGACCCAGATTAGCCCCCCCTAGAAGGGGGCTACCCAAATTTTATCTGCCTAGAATGGGGCGACCCAAATATACTGACCCGCCTAGAAGTGGGGCGCTCAGAGTACACCCCTAGAAGTGGGGCGACCCCGATGTCTGACCTCCTAGAAGTGGGGGACCCCGATGTACTGACCTGCTCTAAAGTAGGCGCGCAGAACGACCTGCCTAGAATGGGGCGACCCCAAAGTATGACCTCCTAGAAGGGGGCACCCAGTTACTGACCTGCCAGAAATAGGGGGACCCAATGTTGACCTCTCTAGAATGGGGCTACCCAAAGTATATCTGCTCTAGAAATGGGGCGGGACCCAAAGACTGACCGCCTAGAAATGGGGCGACCCAGATGTACTGACCTGCTCTAGTTGAGGGACGCGAGTCTCCCCTTTGAAGTGGGCACCCAGAGTACGACCTGCTCTAGAAGTAGGGCGACCCAAAGTACTGACCCCCTAGAATGGGGGGTACCCCGTGTACGATCTCTCTAGAATGGGGCGACCCAGATGTATGATCGCTCTAGAAATGGGCGACCCAGATTACTGACCGTTTTAGAAGTGGGGCGACCCGATGTACTGACCGCTCTAAAGTGGGGCGATCCAGATGTCTGACCCCGCTCTAGAAAATGGAGCGATCCAGATGTACTACTGCCTAGAAGGACGACCCAATGTACTGACCCGCTCTAAAGTGGAGGACCCCGATTACTGACCTGCTCTAATTGGTTTGACACAGATGTCGACCGTTCAGAAGTGGGGGGCCCGATGTATGACCGCTCAGAATGGGGCGACCCAGATTTATGACCCGCTCTAAATGGGGCGACCCGATGTCTGAGCTCTGGGAATGGGGGGACCCAGAGACTGAATCTGCTCTAAATTGGGCGACCCCGATGTACTGATCCCTCTAGAATTTTGGGGGGACCCAATGTACTGACCTCCAAAGTGTGGCGCCAGATTACGATCTGCTCTAGAAATGGGGGGACCAAAGTACTGACATGCTCTAGAAGTGGGCGACCCAGAAGACTGAAGGCTCAGAAGTGGGTCGACCCCGAAGTTCGCCTGCTCTAGAATTTGGGGGCCAATGACTGATCTGCTCTAAAAGTGGGGGGACCCAGAGACTGACCTCCCCCAGAAGTGGGGGGACCCGAGTAAAAGACCTGCCTAGAAGTGGGGCGAAACCCCGATGTACGACCCCGCTCTAGAAGTGGGGCGACCCAAAAATTCTACTTGCTTAGAAGTGGGGGGCGCCCAGATGTACTATCTCTTGAATGGGGCGACCCAATTTACTGATCCGCTAGAAGTGGGGGGCCCAGTTATGACCGCTCTAGAAGTGGGCGACCCCGATGTACTGATCTGCTCTAGAAGTTGGGCGCCCAGATATACTATCCCTCAAAGTGGGGCGCCCAATGGCTGACCTCCTAGAAGGGGGCGACCCAATTACTGACTGCTTAGAAATGATGCGACACAGATATACTGACCGCTCTAGAAGTGGGGGACCCCGATGTACTGCCTGCTCTAGAAGGGGACGACTCAGATATATGATCCGCTGTAGAATGGGGCGACCCCTTACTGACCCCTCTAGAATGGGGGGGGACCCAGATAACTGATCTGCTCCCAGAAGGGGGGCCCAAATTATTTTAAAAAGGGGGGGGGCCCCAAAATCCCTTTCCCCCAAAAGGGGCCCCTTTCCCCCCGGGGAAAAAAACTTTCCCCTTTTTCCCCCCTTTTTTTCCTTCGGGGGGCCCCAAAATTTCCCGTTCCCCAACCCCAAAAATTTTTTTCCGGGGGCATTTTTCCCTTCGCCACTTTTCCCTTCACAAAATTTTTTATAAATTTTTTCCCCAAAAAAAAATTTCTACCCCTTTTTTTTTTTTCTTCCCCCTTTCACTTTTTTTTTCCCCCGGGGTTTTTTTCTTCTTTTTAAAGCCCCCCAAATTTTTCCCACCCTAAACCCTCAAACCCCAAAACCAACCCTTCTTGCCCGGTAGGGAATCCCACTGCCACCCAAAATTTTTTTAAAAAAACGGGGAAAGGGTTTGAGGGAGGCCAAACAAGGGAAAAACCAGACAAGATCAAAGGTAAAGACCAAACGGGGAAAAGGGGGGGGGGAAAGAAGCAAAAGGGGGGGGGAAAAATTTTCTACAAATAGGGGGGATTTTAAAAGGAAAAAGGGGTGTTAAGGGGGAAACCCAAAACGGGAAATTGGGAAAAATCCGGTCCCGGGAAGGGTTTTTTGCAAAAAAGTAGGGGGGAAAACCCACAAAAAGAAAAAGGGGTAGGGGGAAAACCAAACTTAAGGGAAGAAAAGGGGAAAAACCAAAATTCAACCCAGAAAAGGGGGGGTACCCCCTGGGGGCCCCCCCTTTCCCCAAAATGCAAAAAAAAGGGGGGGGGGGAAAAAAACAGGGGCCAAAACTGGCCCTAAAAAAAATTTTTTTCCCCCCGGGCCAAAAAACTGGAAAAGGGGGGGCCCCCGGAAAAGGGGGTTAAAATTTAAAAAATGGCAAATTTAAAAAGGGAAAAAAATTTGAAAAAAATTCCCAAAAATTCCCCGGGGGATTTTAAAATTTAAAAAAGGGTTGGAAATTGTTGGGGGGCCCTAGGGGAACCAAAAATTGCAAAATTTTAAAAGCCATAAGGAAAAAACCCGAAAATCCCAAAGGGAAAGTCAAATGGGGAAAAAAAGATTGCTAACTTAGCCAAGATGTGACATATAAACATATAAATACTCTAGCAAGAAAATTACACTTATCTCTGGAGCGGGTATATATAGGGGTTACAAAGCTATATGATGATCCAGATATTGAAATCTACAAGCTGTTTATACCCAACCAGCGACACATCTTTCTGGGATGAAGATGAATACTTCATTGGGATATTTATACACTGGGAGATACGTTAGTTGGTTACTATTAATATAGTTACTAATATATTAATAACAAACGATATTATGAAAGCTTTCTAATATTAATTCAAATTTCTTAAATTCAAATTTCTTACCATAATTGATTTGCTATTTATTCCATAAATCCTACTCACAATCCAGTTTTTTCGTTGATTAATGTAAAATAAAGGTACCTGGAGTTTACCTGGAGAGAGTTCCGGGGGTCAACGCCCCCGCGGCCCGGTCTGTGACCAGGTATACACTAATCTCACTTGTATACAGTTAGAGAGCCACAATGTGACCAGGTAAAATAAAAACCTTAATGACGCACATGCAGTCGACAGTGCCCCGTGGCTTAGTGGCAAGAGCTCTCGCTTCACACGGTGAGGTTCCGGGTTCGATTTCCGGCGAAGGGGTGGAAACATCGGACGTGTTTCCATACACCGGTTGAACATGTTCACCCATCAGTATAATGGGTACCTGGGTATTAGTCGACTGGTGTGGGTCGCATCCTGGGACAAGGACCTAATTTACCCAAAATGCTCAGCATAACAAGGGGCTTTCTATATAGTAGTATGTCATTAACCCTTCATAACTTGTACGTGTACTTGTAGTAAATAAAGATATTATTATTATTATTATTATTATTATTATTATTATTATTATTATTATTATTATTATTATTATTATTATTATAACTGTATAAGTGACGTCATTGATGATGATGAGTGTGTAAATGAGTCAGACATTTAAACTCACCTACGATGAGAAGATTAGGAGACTTCTCCTTTCCTGAAGCCCACCTACCCAGCTCCAGCAGTTCCTTGGTAGTATTGAAGTTGCTTGGCAGATCACTGAAAGACCTGAAACTAGCCGAAGAAAAATATATTTTAATGTAACGTCGAAAGGAAATATTGTAGAATTATTAAAGGGCAAAGTGGTATTGTGAAAAACATGATTAAAAAGCCCAATTCACAAGAAGTCAAATGCTACGACTAAAATATTAAACACAAGGACATAACTATGCCCTGGGCATCATAAATCGTGTCTCATAAAGAAGCATTCTCATCGTTGTTAATGACAGGTCAAGCAAGCCCACCCAAACACCTGCATAGAAACCCTCCAAAAACTTTCTTTACCACAGGTGAGCACACCTACAAACGGATCATGAAAACTGGAACTTTTACCTGGAACTGGCCTCCGAATGCATCAGATACACGACCTGTATTAAGTAACGCAACAATGACACTTCCCTGCTCCATGGGAAATTATCTGTTTTCCTACTCACTATTGCTCACTTTTCCTCAAAGAACCCAATTAGATCAGGAAACACTTGTTCTGTTTCCCGTCGAATCTTACCTAACCTAATAACAACAATAATAGCAGTAACAACCTGTAGGTGATGCGCATTCGCGGTGCTGTCTCAGTGGTGGCTATCATATCCTCCTTCATCTTGATAGCCATGGATGTCTTCCTCACCTCCTCCCAGGACTCCGTTCTGTTCTGGGGACGAACCATGGAGGATAGTAAGAGAAGATGCTTGAAAGATGAGAAGGAAGAGTTGTAAGCTGAAGGCGAAGTAAAATGACGAAATAGTGCAGAGGAAACACTGTGTAAGATATGTTGAAAGAGAACATATGCTTGCATGAAGGTCAGTCAGTGTAATGTCACATTTGAAATACTGATGAAAACTAAATTATCTAAAGCCCCCCTAAGCTTCACACAACTCACCAGAAAGTGAATTGTATAGTAATGTGAACTGTCAGTCCTCAGGAGTAGCTCATAAAATAATTCTCTGACTTTAGAATCACCCATGAAAGCTATCCAGAGAGAGTCCTTTTCAAGCCTTTTCCTGAAACAGGTGGTGATGATTGTCGGGTCATCAAAGGGAGCTATAACACAAGGAACATAGGGCAGCACTCCACCCATGGCACCAATTCTACTAAAGAAGCGAAGAGTGGCTGTTGAAGCTCTCTGCCTCGGGCTGTTGTCTTGACCAGTGTTAATGTTGTTTTGGAAGAATAAGAGCGTAGGAAGCAGCGCTGCAAGACGGCGGTAATCTTCTGTTGAAGCTCCAGACGATGATGTTCTCTTGTGAACAAGGTGTTCCACTCTTCTGATTGCGTCAGACATGTTGAAATGGTTCTGAGTGTTGATGTGGTGCGGGGAGGCCCAATCGTTGGTAGTATTTCTTGCAGAATTTTGGAGCAAGCGAGCAGCGGCCAGTATGTTGAGGTGAGGGACATGACTGATGGTGAAGAGGGAGCGACAACTGTGATCTGATTCAATATATACTGATGCACTTGCTGTCCGCCGCACTCCACTCTTAACAATGATCCACCAAATTACTGTTAAAAGTAGAACTATGGCACATAATCTGTAGAAATTTTCTTTGTTGTAGGGCAGAGGCATGCTAAGATTGTATTATTTTTATTTTGTTCGTCGTATGCAACATGCATCCACACACAATAATAATCAGTTGATCACTCACTTCACATGAACACCTCCAGAGACCAATATTCTATTTTCCTTCTACGTGTTCGTTCAACAGGAAGTTGGCGAGAAATTGTAGATGTCATCATAACAATTTCTCCCTGAGTTTCCTCTCTCCAGTATCTGAAAACTGTCTAAATTTTGCATCACTGAACCTACTTGCTGTTCACAGTATTAAGCAGGAATATATAAAATATATCCTTAAACATTATTGTTATGTTCTAATATTGTTTGAACATTATAACAATGTTGGTAGAATTACCGACAATATGTAAAGTAAAAGGACACAAGTGCAACTAATGTGACATTTTATTGTGGCAACGTTTCGCTCTCCAGGAGCTTTGTCAAGCCGTTACAAACAGTACATGGACACAGAGGGTATATATAGGCTCAGAGTGAGGTGCAATACTAGTGGTAGTAGTAATAGTAATGACATAAGTTGTAGTAGAGCAAGCCGAGGCCACCAGCACACCCGAACCCATCCCAGGAAGCTGAGAAACTAGTGGAGCTTTTCACTTCCAGGGGAGCCTCCACTCAGCTCCCACAGGACATCCGGAATATACAGACGGATCTTCTGCCACAACGCCAGTTAACGATACAAGCTGCATGTGAGTCGGAAGATGTGACTGATGAAGACCTCACGGACTTGAAACTCCGACGTGCCATTAAGAACACAGGTGACTGCACCGGGCATCGATGGTGTTACGTACTCCATGATTGCACGGGCTGGGCAGAGTGGATGGGAGGCCATACTAGACGTCATAAACAAGTCGTGGAGGTCCGGGACACTCTCAGCAGCTTGGAAGAAGGCTACCATCGTACCAGTTCCAAAGCCCAAAGACCCAGGCAGTATGAGACCCATATTGCTGACCAGCTGTTTAGCCAAGACTGCTGAGAGGATGGTGTTAAACCGCCTCCTATGGAAACTTGGACCCCATCATCATCACATATTTGGCTTCACCAAAGGGGCGAGTACAGCAGAGTGTATAACCACCCTACTAAGCCAGATTGCTGATAGTAACAAAAAACCTAGTATCGTCGTCTATCTCGACCTTGAGAAGGCATCTGAGCTAGCCAGCCCCACAGCAATTCTAGCAATACTAGCTCGGAAGGGAATCAAAGGACGCCTCCTGGTCTGGATAGAGTCCTACCTTAGGGGCAGGCAGGCCTCTGTCAGCTTTCAGGGACACCATTCTTCCTTTAAAACCCTGGAAAACGGCACGCCACAAGTTGTGCTCAGTCCTACCCTGTTTAACGTCCTTATGCAGGAACTTGTGAGCCTTCCCTTTCATAGTGGTACGCAGCTCCTCAGCTATGCTGATGATCTTGCCCTCATAGTGAACGGGAAAGGCAATTTGGAGCGGCAGGCCCAGAAAGCTTTGGACCTAATTACGCAGTCTTGCAAGGAACTAGGTCTCAAGATCTCGGCCGAGAAATCTCTTGCAATGATGTTCAAGGGACCAGATCCTGTGAATAGATTACGTATTCAGGATATAGAACTTAGAGTGGACAGGCTCCTACCTGTACTTGGGAATCTACATTGATAAAAAACTGACCTTTCAGAAACAGGCCGAGTATGTCAGATCCCGTGCTCTACTCAGACTCAACGCCATGAGAGCCAGATCCCGTGCTCTACTCAGACTCAACGCCATGTGAGCCATGACGAGGCACCGTGTACTATGTAGATGAATTGTTCAGAGAACCGACATGTTGATAAATTAGACACATGTGCAACTCTTGGGTATCTTTATTGAGGAAACGTTTCGCCACACAGTGGCTTCATCAGTCCATACAAAGGAGAATCTTGAAGAACAGGAGGAGAATGAGGTAATCAGTCCCTCAACCTTGAGTCGATGTGGTCAGTCCATCAATCTTGAATAGAATACGGCATACGTGCTGAGAAGGAGCTTATAAACCGTTGGCAGGAGAGGTGCAGCAGTCATAGGTGGTGTTGAACAAATGTTACACGACCTATGACTGCTGCACCTCTCCTGCCAACGGTTTATAAGCTCCTTCTCAGCACGTATGCCGTATTCTATTCAAGATTGATGGACTGACCACATCGACTCAAGGTTGAGGGACTGATTACCTCATTCTCCTCCTGTTCTTCAAGATTCTCCTTTGTATGGACTGATGAAGCCACTGTGTGGAGAAACGTTTCCTCAATAAAGATACCCAAGAGTTGCACATGTGTCTAATTTATCACCGTGTACTATATACAACCTATACGCTCGCTCATTGACTACGGTGCACCGGCGTTAGCTCATCTCTTCCCGCACAGTGGTGCCTGTGCTAACCTTCCTATGGTGTAGAAATATACCTAGTTGGACGAATCTTATTGTGGCTAGCTGGTCTAGTGGCTAACGCGACGGGCTGGAGTTTTGAGGCTCTCTCACCGCGGGTTCAATCCCGGCCGGGGTATGGTTTGTTTGCAATCGTGTCATTACGATTTCGTGAGTCAGGCAGAGGGTGGAGGTCGTACAAAACCAGGCGATAAGAACTATGCTTGGGCCCCCATCTGGACCAACACAGTATGTCTCAGATCTTAAGCCCGGCTTCCTTCCCTGGCTGACAGAGTAAGATACATAAACGCCTGCAAAGTAGCCACGATTCCGCACCGGTAGCAAGGTACCCCACTAAGGAGACGGATATTGACAACCATGACACAAGATCCCTCACTCTTCACGGACTACTCCTGGATTCGTTCGTTTTGTGCTGCTGGGCAGAAGCTGCTGCCTATACAACTACTCCTTGAGAAGAATTGTGACCTTCCTGTTGCTGGGTACCATCCACCACCTCTCTGGCACCCAGATCCAGCCGATGTTTGCGTCATGCAACTACCCATCTCTAAGCGTCTCTGCAGTCAAGACACCCTCAGAAATCATGCTGAGACAAGCATGGCACTGGCAGAGGAAGGCACATGTGCAGTGTATTTCGCAGATGGTTCTGTCGACCCTGACAGGAAGAGAACAGCAGCTGGACTGTACCACAATGGTCACACACAAGGCTGGCGACTCCCTGACCACTGCACGATCCTTCAAGCTGAGCTGGTGGCGATTCAGTAGGCATTGTTACATGTCCTACGACATCGACTCCGACCTGTTATACATGTTGATTCCACCTCTGCAATCAATGCCCTCTCCCATCCTCAACCACAGGACAATGTTCACCTCATCACATCGATCCTGAGTATAATGACAGCCTTAGAAGTTCAGGGTAACAGATCGACATTGAACTGGATCCCCAGCCATGCTGGCATCCGGGGAAATGAGGCGGCAGATGATGCAGCGAAGGCAGCAACAGACTATCCACATGTTGGGATTACCGTCCCCATCAGCCTACGACAGACCAAACTGGTGGCTGCCAGAGCCATGAAACTTATGGGGGAGGTCTTAGGTGATACCCCATCTCAGCAGTGGTACCGAGCAGCGACTCAGGGAGAACCCCCTCCATATGATAGAAGCTGGTCCAGAGCACAGTGTACCGCCATCCATCGGCTTCGTTTGGGCTTTCCCACAGCTAAGATGATGGTAGACAAGGCTGAGGAGATGTGCCAGTACTGCCAGCGCGTTGTCCAGCGCCCCCTAACACACTATCTTCTGGAGTGCGAAGTTACTGAGACACTCCGCAGGCAACTAGGACTGATATTCCCTCCCGAAGAGGACCCAGAGATGACTACGGCCACACTAGTGTACCATGGAGTCAACGAACCAGACAAGCTGTTGCCCGTGATAACGACATATCCTCCTCGCTAGTGTCCAGTTAGGAGTACATATGGTGTTGTCTCTTATGAGATGCACCAGTTGAACTGACCAGAAGAGTGCTTGAGCAGCATACGTCGCAGCATCATTGTAGAAACCTTTTTCCCTCGGGAGCTAGAGACGGGTCATCGCAAGACTGAGACCCGTGCCAGGACTACGGTCTTGGTGAACATTATACATACATACATATGCTGTATTCTATTCAAGATTGATGGACTGACCACATCGACTCTAGGTTGAGGGATTGATTACCTCATTCTTCTCCTGTTCTTCACGTTTCTCCTTTGTATGGACTGATGAAGCCACTGTGTGGCGAAACGTTTCCTCAATAAAGATACCCAAGAGTTGCACATGTGTCTAATTTATCAATATGTCGGTTCGCTGAACCATTCATCTATATAAGTTCTACGTTATTTAACTGATAAGTACTAGGGTTATGGACACTCCCGAGCTTCAGAACTTTGCATTTATCTACACTGAACTGCATATGTCACTTTTCTGACCACGAACTTTGTCTAAATCCTCCTGAAGTTCCGTAACATCTAAGTTTGAATCAATTATTCTACCTGCCTGTGTTATCGGCGAACCTGCTCATATCACTAGTAATTCCCTCATCAAGGTCATTGATATATATTATAAACAACAACGGGCCCAAGACTGATCCCTGTGGAACGCCACAGGAAATTAATATTAGGATAGAATTTTTGTCTGTTTGGATAGAGTTTTTTGTCTGTTTGGATAGAATTTTCCGTCTGTTTGGATAGAATTTTCAGTCTGTTTGGATAGAATTTTTGTCTGTTTGGATAGAATTTTCAGAGGGACATGAAAAATTTATTTTAGGTGTGATATACCGTCCCCCAAATTTAGATAGGGACCAAGGGAGACTACTATGGGAGGAAATTGTTAAGGCTACAAGGCACGATAATGTAGTAATTCTAGGAGACTTTAACTTTAGTCATATTGATTGGAATTTCTTGACTGGGAATTTAGAATCAATCGACTTCTTAGAAGTAATTCAGGATTGTTTTTTGAAGCAGTTTGTGACAGAACCTACAAGGGGAAATAACCTGCTTGACTTGGTTTGGCAAACAAGGAAACCCTTGTTAATAATTTAGAAATTACAGAGGAACTCGGCACAAGCGGTCACAAATCAATTACCTTTAGGCTGAATGGACGTATGATAGTAGGGATAATTCAGTACTGGTCC